AAAACCCGCCCAACTCGCCCAAGGGCCTCACCTACGAGCAGGCCGGCGTCTCCATCGACGCCGGGGACGCCTTCGCCTCGTCCATCTCCCAGCACATGCGCCGCACCTTCGGCCCGCGCGTCATCGAGAACCCCGGCGGTTTCGCCGGCCTCTTCCGCCTCGACTACAACGAATCCCTCTTCCGCCACAACTACAAGGACCCCGTCCTCGTCGCCTGCACCGACGGCGTCGGCACCAAGATCAAGCTCGCCCAGCAGATGAACCGCTGGGACACCATCGGCGTCGACCTCGTCGCCATGTCCGTCAATGACCTCGTCGTCCAGGGCGCCGAGCCCCTCCTCTTCCTCGACTACATCGCCTGCGGAAAAGTCCACCAGGAAACCCTCGAGCGCATCGTCTCGGGCATCTCCGACGCCTGCCGACTCTGCGACACCGCCCTGCTCGGCGGCGAGACCGCCGAGATGCCCGACCTCTACGACGTCGGCGACTACGACCTCGCCGGCTTCGCCGTGGGCGTCGCCGAGCTCAAGAAGATCACCGACACGGGCCGCGTCGAGCCGGGCGATGTCCTCATCGGCCTCGAGTCCGACGGCGTGCACTCCAACGGCTACTCCCTCGTCCGCGCCGTCATCGACCACGCCGGGCTCGACCTGAACGCCGTGTACCCGGGACTCAAGGACGAGCGCACCCTGGGCGAAGTGATGCTCACGCCGACGCGCCTCTACGCGCGGCCCATCGTCCGCGTCCAGCGCCGCTACACCGTCAAGCGCGTCATCTCCGGCATGGCCCACATCACCGGCGGCGGCCTCGCCGGCAACCTCGAACGCGCCCTCCACGACGGCGTGGACGCCACGATCGACTATGGCGCCTGGGACGTCCCCGCCCAGTTCCGCTTCCTCCAGGAGCACGGCAACGTCGACGAGGACGAGATGCGCAAGGTCTTCAACATGGGCATCGGCTTCGTGCTGATCGTCCGCCCGAGCTTCGCCCAGTCCATCGAACGCCGACTCGCCCGCCTGGGCGAGCGCCCGGTCATCCTGGGCGAGGTGAAAAAGGGCTCGGGCCGCGTGATCGAGAAGTAACGCACCCGCGCGCCACAATCGGTAACAACCGCGAACGGCAGTGAGCGGGCCCCTGGTCTCCCGGACGAGCCAGCACACTCACCCACCCCCGAACCGCGCCCCCTCCTGCTCCTCAACCGTGTACCGAATCGCGTGCTCAAGCTGCTCTTGCTTGTAGCACCGGATCGTGCTGCCGTGACGCGCCCACACTTTCGTTTCATCGTTGACCAATTCGCGCTCATGCAGCAGCCGTGTCGCCCTTGCCTTCAGATGGCGCATCGTCAACTCAGGCGATTTCTCGCTCGTGACAACGGCGTGCACATGATTCGACCGAACATTCAGCGCGTGCAATTCCCATCCCTTGTATTCACACGCATCACGAATCGCCAACTCGACAACGGTTTGCTGTTCTGCGGTGAAAACGAAGGGCTCGCCTCGAACGATCGCCTTTGAGTACGCTTCGAGCTTCGGTACGGGCTCGCGCATCTTGTTCCCGCGCGGTGATGGCTTGTTGTTCACAAACCCCCGCTCATCTCCGGGGAGCCATGTGCCGTAGGTCCGGAAGGTCAGCAAGTACGCGATGGGATGTGCAGGCATGTGCGAACCTCCTGCGCATGATCCGGACGACCTGGGGCCCGCTCACTGCCGTTCGCGGTTGTTACCAGTCCCCCCTCACCCCCGCACGTACACAATCTCCATCGACTTGTGCTCGTTCCCATCCGGGCCAGTGAAGTACGTCGTCATCGAGTGACGGTCGTCGCTCTGCAGCTCGATCACCGTCCGCTTGCGCAGCTTCGAGCCGTCCTGCGGGTTCGTCATCTCGCCGCTCATCGCCCACACGCCCGGCTTCTCCAGCGTGCCCTGCTCCAGGTGCATCATCGTCGCGGCCGTGTCGAGCCAGACGCCCTCGTACTTCTGCGTCGCCGTGTTGTACCCCCAGAACCCGCGCCCCTCGAACGCGCCGAACGGCCCGTCCGCGCCGTCGCCCACGAAGTGCTGACGCAGGAAACGCCCGCCCAGGTCGAGCTCGTTCGTCATCGTCCCCGTCATCACCATCGGGTCCCCGGGCCCCATCCACATCCGAACCTCCGCCTTGAAGGTCCCCGCGAAGGGCTTGAACCCCTCGTGGTGCTCCGTCAGCGCGCCCGCGTCGGCGCATCCGTCCGTCTGCTGCTCGGCCATAACGATCTCCTTCGGGGTGTTGCGTGCGTTCACAATCTACCACCCGCCCGCTCGAACCCGGTGTGAAAAGGATGAGCGTACCCTATCATAATCCAAATACACGTCGGGGCCTTCCAGGAAGAAAGCCCGTATCGCGGTACTGTACTGCAGGAATATTTCTTGTTTGACGGGTTGGAACCCCTTGCAGACCGCCCAGAAAGCCGATACAAAGGATACAAAAGAGTATTTTTTCTTCTATAAGAACCCGGTGTCCCGACCGCGTCTGAAGGCCGCGACACCACACACCCTCACCAGTCACCCTCGATGCCCCGAGTGCCCCGCGACGCGAGGCGGGGCAGAACGGAGACCGCCATGCAGAACGCAACGATCACACGCCTCACCCTCCTCGCCGGCGCCCTGTGCGTTTCGCCGGTCGCGCTCGCCGAGACGAGCGAAGACGAGATCCGCGCCATCGTCTCCGAGATGATGGCCGACGCCTCCACGCGCTCCTCCCTGCTCCAGTCCGGCGGCAACGCCGGGCACGACGGGATGTTCTACCTCGCGGACGAAGAGGGGAACTTCCGCCTCAACGTCGCCGGCCAGGTCCAGTTCCGCTACACCGCCAACTTCGGCGAGGAGAACAACGCCTCCGACGGCGACGACTACACCGGCGGCTTCCAGACCAACCGCACCAAGCTCGAGTTCACCGGCAACGCCGTCCTCCCCAACCTCGTCTACAAGGTCCAGGGCAACTTCGCCTCCAGCGGCGGCAACTTCTCGCTGCAGGACGCCTACGTCGGCTACGCCTTCGACAGCGGCTGGACCCTCCTCTGGGGCCAGATGAAGGCCCCGCTCCAGCGCGAAGAGCTCGTCGATTCCAAGTACCAGCTCGCCGCGGACCGCTCCTTCGCCAACTCCCTCTTCTCGCCCACCCGCACGCAGGGCATCGCCGTCAACTACCGCAACGACGACATCAACTTCACCGCCGGGTTCACCGACGGCGCCAACGCGTTCAACACCGACTTCAACCAGGACCAGCAGAACTACGCCGGCTTCCCCACACCCGCCTCCATCGGCGGCGGCGAGGCCGACTACTCCTTCACCGCACGCCTCGAGTGGAAACTCGAAGGCGACTGGGGCCAGTTCAAGGACTTCACCTCCATGCCCGGCTCCGAGTTCGCCGCGATGCTCGGCTTCGCCGGCCACTACGAGGGCAACGAGACCCTCGTCGGCTTTGCCGGCACGCCCGCCGACGTCACCGTCGGCGGCTACACCGTCGACCTCTCCCTCGAGGGCGACGGCTGGAACTTCTTCGCCGCGTTCATGGGCTTCTCAACCGACACCGAGGGCCTCGTCGACCTCGACCTCGACGGCGCCGGCGACGACACCGACTTCGCCGACTTCGCCCTCGTCGTCCAGGGCGGCGTCTTCATCCCCGACACCGACTGGGAACTCTTCGCACGCTACGACGGCATCTTCCTCGACGACGACCGCGCCGGCGAGGACGACTTCAACACCCTCACCTTCGGCCTCAACTGGTACTGGTCCGGGCACGCCGCCAAGTTCACCGTGGACGCGACGATCTTCCTCGACGAGTCCCTCGGCGCCAACGGCGTCCCCCTCGCCGCGGCCGCCGGCGGGCTCAACAGCTTCAAGAACTTCGTCGGCGACGACGACGAGGGCGAGTTCGCCCTCCGCGCGCAGTTCCAGCTGCTCTTCTGAGGCTTCAACGCCGAACCCTTCACCCGGGGTTCGACGATCACACGAGCCGGGGCGCCCCATAGCGCCCCGGTTTTTTTTCTTGAATTCCCTTCGCGCACGAAACCAACCGCTGATCCGCTGCGAACGATCAGGACCTCCTCGGCCGGGCGGGGAATTATGTGTACATCCGAATCGCGCGACCGACACACATGATCGTTGTCGCTCGCGTCCGCTGAATCGGTCCGACGAACCGGAGCGCCGGTTCCCCGTCTCATCCCCCGCGGGTGTCGAGGCGGCCGGTGTGCCGCCGTTGTGCCGAACCGGGACAACGAGACGATCCGCTGCGCACACACGTGTGCGCGGCACTCGAGCCGGGGCACCACGACTGTGCCCCGGTTTTTTACAAAATAGAACAACGCCCCCGAAGGGGCGTTGCTCGCAGCGCAGCTCGTCGCTCCCCGAAAGCCCTCTGGAGGCATCGATGCGACCGTGCAGCGCGTGGCCGCACCGGGGTCCGGTGTATCGCCGATCCCGGTGCGCGGGCCGCGCGGCGGAGGAGGAGAAGGAGGGATGCCGCCGACCCGATTCGTGTGGGCTCTCGCCCCAGCCTTATCGACGGCGACGAACGCCCGCGACCGCGAGCGGCGCGAGCATCGCGACCGTGGCCGGCGCCGGGACGACCGAGATCTCGAAGTAGTCGAAGATGAACCCGACCGGCTGGATGCCGGCGTCCGTCAGGCCCCAGTTGAACGAAGAGATCCCGGTGAAGTCGTACGTGCCGGTCGCGTCGAGGATGTCGAGCGACGGGAACGTGCTGCCCGAGGTGTACGTGGCGATGAACTTCGTCTTGAAGAACGGGTCGATCAACGCCGGCTCGTCGATGAACACGTCGTCCTCAAATCCGGAGTCCGGGTTCGTCCCCAGGAAGAAGCCGTCCACCGCCGGGTCGTTGTTGCGGAGGACGAAGTAGGGGGTCTGACCGAAGGGGTACGGCTCCGGCATCCCGACGGTCGCCGTGCCGACGGTCAGCGAGAACGAAGACATATCGATGTTGTAGCCGCGCGTCGGGAACATCGAGCCGTCGAGGAACGTGTCCGAATCGACCTGGAAGCTCAGGTTCACCGGCGTGCCCGGGCCCATGCCCGCGAACGAGCCGAAGTTGAGCGTGCCGAAGTCGACGGAGCCGACGATCTCGACCTGGACCAGGTCGGCGGAGGCGGGGGTGGACAGGGCCGCGGCAGAAGCGACCACGATGGCGGAAAGGGCGATCTTCATCTCGAACACTCCAAGTGCGATGTGACTCATGCGCTCCCGACGCACGATGGGCGGGAATCGATAGCCAGAGTGTAGGTCCGAATAGCGTTCTGTCAATATTCCAATTGGAAAATCACGGCGTGTTTTCGGACCCCGGAACCAGGGTTGTGCCGATTCGGTGATGAAGCGGAAAGCCGCTCAAAAAGGACAAAAACCGGGCGCCGCTGCCATGGAGACGCCCGGTCTTGTCCTGTGTCGCTCGAGAAGAGCCACCCTCCAGCCCGATCCTGAGACCCCGGAGCCGGTCCCGAGTTCCCGATTCTATCGGTCAATTCGAGGTCTCTCAATATTCCAATTGGAAAATTGTCCAGACTCTTGAATGGATGTGCCAATAGGCAGACCGCGGGTATACTTCGCCGGTTCGACACGCGAAGTCCCCGGAAGGCCGACCCTTGAGCACAACCCGACCAACGCTGTTTGAGACCGAATGCCAGACCGCCGTCAGCGCCGTCCGGGCCTCGATCATCGACCTCTACGGCAGCATCAACGCCGACCCCGTCAACCCGCAGGAAGTCGCCCGCCACCTCGGCCTCAACAAGACCCTCACCTGGAACATCGCCCGCATCGTCCAGGCCGACGACGACCTCGACGCCGCGTCGCACATCCCCGGCCTCACCTCCCTCAAGCGCCTCTTCGAGGCCGCCCGCAAGCACGGCGCCCCGGACCTCGCCATCGACCGCCTCCGCGACGCGATCCGGCGATTCGACAACGTCATCTCCGTCCACGTCGGCGACCGCGCCTCGCTCGAGCTCATGCTCGACAGCATGGGCCGACAGCGCTCCGAGTCCCTCGAGCTGAGCCGCAAGCTCGCCTTCCGCGGGCTCAGCGGGATCTACGGCGTCCAGGCCAGCACGCACCTCATGTGCTGGCTCGCCGCGCCCAACGCCGAGAACCCGGGCCGCGTCGACCTCGTCTCACTCAAGGGCTACACCGGCTACCGCCGCCTCCGCCCGGACGTCCGCTGGCCCATCTTCCTCCGGCGCGGGTGGGGCTCGCTGAGCGACCCCGACGGCCCGCACACCTTCGAGCCCCTCGCTCCCGAGCAGAGCAACGGCGATTCGCTGCTCCACCAGTTCTTCCGCGGCGAGCCCCCGGTCATCGAGTCCCGGCGCATCGGCGATGCCCACGTCTCGATGCTCCAGCCCGGCGGCGTCGGAAAGACGGGCGCCTTCGACTGCTTCCAAGGCGCGGTCATGCGCGCCGGCGTCCCCCGCGAGCACGACCCGAACGACCCCGCGAGCGACGACATCGGCGAGATCGGCGTCACCATCACCACGCCCGCGGAGTCGCTCCTCTTCGACCTGATCGTCCACAGGGACCTCGCGTACATGCTCGAGGGCGACGTCCACGTCCACGCGCAGTACCTCGCCACCGGCGCCTCCACCGCCGAGCCCATGTCGGACATCTACCTCCCCATCAAACCGAAAGCTTCGAAGATCTCCGGAGCCCCGCCCGCCGTCGCGACACCCCTCATCCCGCAGTACGCCGACATCGTCCGATTCACCGGCGACCGCCTCGGCTGGGACCTCACCGACTTCCTCGCCGCCCGAGTCCGCCTCGACTACCCCCCCCTCGGCAGCATGGTCCTCCAGCGCTTCAACCTCCCACGCAAGCGCTGACTCCACACCCCCATCCCACCCCAAAACGACAAAGGCCCGACGCAAAAGCACCGGGCCCGTCTGGCATCCAAGCAGATTGTGCAATCCGTGCCTACCAAACCCATCGCATTGCTCGTTGGAAGCAACCGCGACAGTGATGGAGCGGATCTCAATTGGCCCGGCGGAGCCGGATCCTCTGAATGGGCCTGACAGGATTCGAACCTGTGNNNTCTAACCAGCTGAGCTACAGGCCCGCTCACCCGGATCACCGACCCGGGCGCGGCCGAGCAGTATAAAGCGACCTCCCACCCGAGGCAACGACAAGCCTTCCAGACCAACCCCGACCGTCAGGGAGG